CTGAAACGAAAGTTATTGGCGTGGTGCAATTGTTCCGCTTTAAGTATCACCTCGCATTAGCAAGCGACGAGAAGGCGGACAATTTAAATTATAGGTATGCTCGACTGAGGCTGCCTCTCCCTTATCGCATTAACGCGGGAATACCGTAAAATGCACAAGGCAAAGTACCTACCACGCCAAACCAACAACTTCCAGCGTAACCGTGTTCATTACGAAGAAAGATCTCGCCGAATTTCTCCATTTACATTCCGGCGTCGTGTGCGCGGGCTCTTGGCACGGACGATTATGGCCTCCTGTTTCCTAGGCCTCTTCCTTCGTCGATTAACTTATTTTCTTCGTAATCGTGTATCGTCTCTCGATAAAGATTCTTATCCCTCCCCTCTCGCGACTTGCCACACTACACACGCAGCCTGCCAGCCAGTTCGAGGCGAAAATGATACTTCCCTCTCGCGAGTGAGTGCGATTTAAGTGGTTATAATTGCATTTGCGGATCCTCCTGCGACTTCTGTGCTTTTACGAACTCGTACGGGCAGAAAACTTGTCCTCGCTGGATACAGGCACAGATCCGCTTTGTGGATCAATTTCAATTTAAATCCGCGTCGTTAGTTAATATTCTTTCGGGGGATATCGCGCGAGAATATCGTTCGTTTTTTCCGGAAGATTTTTTGTTTTTTTTTTTTTTTTTTTTTTTTCTTTGCATCCTTGGGAAATAATTGCCCACCCCTTAAGCTTCGTTACGAAATTTACGAGATAACCAAATTGGCGATTTTGTGCGATGTTTTCCTGCTTTTCGCAGGCCACGTTTACTCCACGTTTACGCGATAAAAATGGCAATTAACGGAATTACAGGTTACAAGTTACGAAATCTCTCGCTCGGTGGTTATATTGTTTTACTGTATAGCAGCAACGAGCGCAAATCGTGCGGTTCCGGTCGACATTATTTTGTACAGGTTGCGCCAAATGTTGCGCATGGTCTCGTTAGATTTGATGTGCAAACGTTGCTGCCTTCTAAATATACACGCAGAGAACGAGCTGGCTGCCTGTTGGAATTGCTGCGCTGCGTGCAACGACCGCGACGAAGGAATTAAAAATCCGTTTCGAATTCCTTTCGTCTCGACGGTCAAATCGAAAACGAGAGCTGCCGGGGGGAAAAAACAGAGAAGCAAAGCAATGTGCCAAGAGAGTATTTGTTCCCTGAATTGCAAATAGAAGAGGATATGAGCAAACTACATTGCAGAGAATATACGAGCAAACAGTACAGTGATATTCCCACAATTTTATTTCGTCGAAGCTCTTTGTGCAAGTTACAATCCCACTGCGTTCATGAAGAATTCCAAAACGAACTATGCACGCGATGATTAGATATTTTAATTGATCGTTTGTGTTCTCGTTCTTCGTCGAGAATGGTTAATGGAAAATCCTGGTTTTCCGAACCTCTGGTTGCATTTTACCAGTTGATTTAATGTTTGAAGATAACCAGAGTGACAGAGATAGTCGATGCATTCTTGTCCTTGGGTAGAAACGTGCAAGTGAATATTTATATCTGGGAAATTCGGATAATTTGGTAATTTAATTTAATTTATGCCAGGGTTATCGATGATCATTCGCTGTATCTCTAATAGCTTTCGCAGTCCAATAACCTTTCGCTGCAACAAGAAATATACCTGATTTATGTATATATCTGTGGATTTTGGTCAACGTAACAGTAAGGCTCGATACAATATTCTAGATATTTCATAATTCGATATTTTTAGTACAAGCACAAATAAATGTCTTTTAATGCACACAAAATCAAAAAAAAAAAAATGCATGTAAAGATTTTTGACAAAGATATATAAATAATCCTTCTGTCAAATACATCGTAATTTCTAACGAGAACCAAACTGACGTGCCATTTCCTCGCATCAAAAAGTTGCTTACTTTAGGAGAAGAACGTCAGAATTGAGATTCTATGTTTTCGTACGTACGAATTCTATCGGTATGTGATATATAGGCACTAACGTTTCGTATATATCTCTCTACTTTGTTACGTTAAAAATAACAGAAAGGGGAATGGCGTGCGCGTTCTCCATTAACTTGGATTATACATGCCGGTAAATATCAATGGCCAATTTACAATTGATTGAACAATTAATTGAAACACTACGTGTTCCACAATAAAAGTGTTTTTTTAAAATTAAGCTTTCACGATTGTATTTTCACCATTGATTGCTTTTCGTAACCGGTTGCATAGTAAATGACAATTGAAAATACGATACGTCATGTACAACATGATGCACCGTAGATATTCAAACGTGTTTCTTTTTCACAGACGCTTCAGTCTTTTTCTGCCGCAAATTTATCTAATCGTCGTGGAAATAATGAACATTTTATTTTAATCAACATAACAATTTATTTCGTACAATGTATAATTGTAGATAATACTTATTTGTCACATGTTTATCTGTCGTTACGTTTGCAGATTTATAATATGATGCACATAATAGTTCGTACGATCACGAATCTCTCAAACTTAATTATCCGATTGATTCTTGATTTGACGATCAGTGGCCAGGCTGCAACGAAACAAACATTTCTTTTAAAATTCACGAGTTTGATTTTTTTTTAAATCAAATTACATATTATACAAATTGTATGAAACTTAGTATTAATTAAAAGTTGATTCTATCATAGTAATTATCATTAATTAATTATGATCAGTAATATTCCGAGTCTATAAAATTATATACTTCCAGACAAGAAATTCGTTTTCAATATAGGCTACATATGAAATCACTTGAAGTGAACTTTCAAAGCCACAGGTTATTTCAATGAATGATTATAAGAATTTGTTGTTCAAATTTGTTGTTAAAATATACGTACTCTTAGTAACGGGTATGGCCATTTAATTTTCGGATTGAATGGTCCGTGACCAGGGAACGTTGGAAACGGACGTCGTCCTGGCGATGGTACATAATTCGGTGGTACATATGCAAATATCGCGCATACTGCGGCAAGTAGTACGAAAATAAATGTCACCGTCTTCATCTTGTTTATATTTTTTTTCTGCAATTCGAAGAGGTAATTATTTTCGGTAGCAGAATTCTGTTTAAACATCTGTTTTTCGTGTTGTAATTAAAATTTCGTATTATCATTATTTCCTTATATTTTCTAATAATAATTAAATACAAGTCTTTGCTACGAATTTTTAATAAATTCTTCTTGAAAAAATTCATATTGTACATACGTACATGTGTATGAATAAAATTACTGAAAATCTAATTTTCCAAGATTCAAATTAGACTGTCTGTTGAACAAAGAAACTGTTGCTTTCTTGTGAATGAAAATTTCATAGAGAAATCGAGTAATAAAATATAATAATTTTTAAGTAAATATTTATATGTGGATTTACCTCTTGACACGCGGTTCTTCGCTCTCTGCAGCTGCTGAAGGTGCTTTATTTCGATATTGGACGAACGTTCTTTATATATCGTGCAAGAATTCACACGAATGGGTAATTTCACAGAATTATCAGCGGAATATGTATGCGTGTGTACGTTCTTTGTCGCAAGGGGATTTATGTCGCGCTTTCCTCACATCGTTCATCATTGGCAAATGAATGAAATATCAATGACAGATAATGACCTTCTTATCATAGTGACCATAAATATGTACATTTTATCGCGTTCACAGACGCGGGATTCCCTCGAGAATGAATTTTCCTCAGTCGTTCGTTTCACGATGAGTAATCTGTGTTTACGAAAACGTAAGTGCCAACATCAGCATTTGACATGTTTTTCATAAATCATTGCACAGCAAACATTTTTGCGTAATAAAAATATAGTGATCAAACGATTGGAAATAATTTTATTCTTTTCAACACACGTGGTTCCACATTTTCTAAAGTAAGCCTCACAAGTAGATGTTACTAAATTTATATAGTTTACTCATTAAAAATTACAGTTCACTGGTTAAATAATCTTTCGAGTAATTCTTACAGAATACATTGATTTCTGACTTTTATCTCAATATATCTTTCGATACGTTCGATACGCCAGTTGAAATGGTAAAAACGATGTCTAAATATGTGTAAGTTTATTAACTGTACTGACTAATTACAAATTACAATACACTGTATTTCTCTCGATGTTATTATTCTTTGATATTAATTCTTTAATTCTCGTCGATATCAATTAATGTTATTCTTTACCATCGGGAGACACGCTTGCACGATTTGAAAGGCAGAGATTTGCTACAAATTTAGGTAGTGGACGAGTATTAAATGCAGAAGTTGACGAGTAAGCACGTAGATTTTAATGGCTCGTTTTGAAAGACAAAGTTTGTTGCAGCGCAATT